TCTATCAGCCGTAGTAAACAATCGTAGGGCAGTACCTCTTAAAAGAACTTATGCATTGACTGACTCGATGAGCGGCTAGACGTTGCGTATTAAAATTGGTGCAACAGTTTTACTTCAATACACTAACATGCTATCCAAAACCAAAATAACTGCTTACGGTGTTAATGGGAATCATGAACCTAATGCTAACTAAGGCCTGTCACCCAAACAACTACGCCTTGTTTAACATAACAATAAGTGGTTCCCCTTAAAGGTAAGATCGTGACGAAGATTGCTTTGAGTTCATTAGTGACCAAACAATCTCTGATTCTATACTAGACTATTTAAATAATAAAGAAACATAAACTTCAAGGCGACAAAAATAAACTTTATAAATTTATTTGATAATCTTGATAGCTAATTCATTTTTTGAAGGTGCCGGTAGTATTTATTAAATTGTGATGTGCCTTCTGAAGAAATTCAAAACGGAATGAGGCACTAATTTGAACTTCAACTTCATAAATTATTTAATGAGCTAAATACATTTTTATATATATTCAATTCGCAGTCGAAATAAATTTTAAGGGATTAACGATTGCGCGATTACTGTTTAATTCAGAAAATCTGCAATGATTCTGCATCCAAACAACCTGCAGAAAAGGTCAAGCCTCGTGCATTAATCCTCCCCGCCAGGTTGATGAGGTCAAATAAAACCGGATTCGTGGCTTGAATTCAAAGAAGCGAAGGATGCAGTAATGTCAGATGGTGCGATAGCAAACATGCGTTGTATGGAAAAACACATGGAACAACAAATAAAACAACGTTACTGGTTTGCTGATAGCAAACAATCAGAGTTAATTGTGTATGCCTTTTACAATCTATTCAATCTGTCGCTGGTTTATTTCTGTACCACGGTTTCTAGCATCTAACCTTTTCTATAATTTTTAAATTATCTCAACGCATTGCCAGTGAATGACATTATTCTTTCCAATGCTCTGTTCTGTCTCCGCTGAATCATGACCTTCTGCTCTGCGTCGTTATCGTATTTTATTTTTGACTTTTCATCCAGTTTCCCCGACGTAGGAGTCGCTAAAAGTGCAACTGAGGCGATATCCTTCCGCGGGATTATCTTATTGTAGTAGAACCCCTTGCTTATACAGAAGACTGCCTAGCTTCAAAGGGATCCGGAGCGTTGTTCCAAATGCCGTATTTGTCTCAAACCGTTTGCGTTTTTTCGCTTAGATTCCTTTGGTAGAGATTCATCATTTGAGGCATACTATTTGAGTTTTGCGATGGGTAGGCAGTTTTGTTATGATTGATTCTGTTCAGCTTCTGGCTTACTTTCAGAAAATGCTCGAGAATAACGGACCGAAAAGCTGTTTTTCTTAATTCTTTGAGCAATTTATTATTCTCTCATAAAACTTCTTAGGTACAGGGTTTGTAGAAGCTAACCTTCACCGATGCCAATGTGTTGGATCGACTGTTAATGAATATTCCGGTATGTTATAGACTGTTGATCTTAAGTTATAAAATTCCTTATACACTATGACGCACAGAAAGGAAAAGCCTTTCATTTTCTTCCAGTTAATGAGTGAACCGTATTTTTTCTTAGATGTGTTTAAGGTATTTTTAAAAGTTCGTCGAGCTGGTTGCGTGGATTCTATCAAAATGGCCAAATGTCGTCCGCATATTTACACCATATTTTTGGACAAAGACCCGCTGCTCAATAAGACATTTTTAGAATTGTTTTGTTTATATTTGAGCGAAGATTCACGATATAAGAGACTCAATAGACATTTACATAGCTGATTGCATTCTTTCATAAGTGCCAAAAAATAGGAACAATATAAGCACATAGGAATGAGTTTAAGTGTGTCTTCTGTTCCGAATCTGACCTTGAAGAAGTTATTCATTGTTTGACATATTCTTGTTTACAGACAGCTTTCGGTATTTATTCAGTAGCATATAAGGAGTAACAGCTTCCGAAAGGTGTTCGTGATGGATTGGAGGTGACTCTAGCGGACAACATGAAGCGAGATGCGTCTGGCACTGAAAATGCTTAAATGCCATTGAGCTGTGATTTACTTAAATAATTTTTCTAAGTAACTAGGAGTAAGAGAGCGGCGCATCACGCCGTGAAATTTGGTATTGTACAAGTTATTTAATATTAACGGTCATTATCGGGTTGAAAGTATAGTATTTCATTATAAAGAGTCGCTTTTTTGCATTCCTATTACATCTTAACATACCTGCAAATCAGTAGTAACGCGTAGCCAAATCGCTAGTGATGCGGTAAGGCACAAGTACCAATTTATTAAGTGGTTTCGTTTGATCTCTGAAAGCTTGTGTAGTTTAGTAATGGATTTTTCAATGACAAATTTTTACCAGAGTTAATTTTGTAGCCATATATAAGTTCTGTTTCGGTTGTTCTCGGTTATTCGGATCTTGAGTTTGAAATATCGCTTATTGGTAAATGGTGACTTATTGGCTTATAGTTAGTTTTGTGCAATCACTGCTTTCTTCCGCTTTTTCTAAAATGTTGCTGAGAAACTTATTGCTATGTGCTTCGTTTGGTTGCAGTTTGTTAGTGTGACAAACTGAATCTCCTTTGTTAGTGAACTGTGAAAATTTTAATATCGTAATCTGTTAACAGAAGTGAAGGAAAGTGTTTTTCACCACTTTTGATATGAAGTTACCTTATTTCATGGTGTGTATGCACACTGAGATGAGATAGATAGTTTAGTACTAAGTTAATGATTGCTGCGGTTCTCAGTTGTATTCCTGAGCAGATGAACTTATGCATTTTTGTTACTTGACATTGACGATGGAACTGTTGCTCTGTCATAAATAGCGCATGACGCTTGTTGTACAACTTGCTTATATTACCAGAAATCTAAAGCTTAGTTTCGCGCGTTTTGAACTAAGTTTGTATGTTGCGAATTGAAGTTATGTTTTAGGAGAAAAACAATGGCGAGGCCTATGGTAACCGTTCATGATGACAAGGGGTACGCCCTTCCAGCACAGATAAAGCTGCCAACAGTTTTTAAGGCACCTGTAAGGCCTGACTTGGTCAGTTTTATTCATGATCAAATGAGAAAAAACGGAAGGCATCCGTACGCTGTATCAAACAAAGCAGGTAAATTGGTTGGCATAACTTAACTGTGTTGTATTTTATTGAAAAAGCATGATTGGCGCGTATTTGTGTGATAATATCGAATCGTGTATGAGTGCAACATTTCAGAATAGCCGAAGCAATCGATACGCTTTAAAAATCCGGAAGCAGCTTATCTATTCTTTCCTCAGTGTGTGATTCGCATTCGGGCACTGCCGCTCAGAATTTCAAAGCAACAAAGCATTAACGTAACTCATCTTGAGGTGCATCTCTTGATTCTATAATTGGGTTAGTTAGGCTTTCTGTAAGTGAAGTCAACCACAGTTTCAACAGGTTAGATTTGCTTTCATTCAGTTATCTCATTAGAAGTGAAGTTTTGTAGTGAAGCCAAAGCACAGTCACACGTTCAGTGCACGTTTCTTCGATAGGTTACATTGTTAAGTGCAGCGTAAATTCGGCTTAATACGATAGGGATGCAAGCGTTTACTAGTTCTGTACAGTAGCAGTTAGGAGTTCGGTGCAGTTCGTAGCAAAATTCCCGTAGTCTGGTCTTGCTCGAAAAATTGTTAACTTAACTGGTATCACTTCGACTTTCACTAGTGATTGCATACAGGATTTAGTCGATGCAGTTCAGTTAGAGAACGGACTGCTTGTTGCGGCGTAATGCAGTCGTGTTTGCATAACAGCTTTCCATCGCTTATCAGCGTTCTCAGCCCATACATAATCAAGTGGATTTTTCTTTTTGTTTCACACTATGAATGCGATCTTTAATGCTACCGTCTTCAGATTTGCCCGTTTTTCTGACTTATCTAAAGTATCGAAAAATTAGCTCCATGGCCCCTGCAGGACAAACGCGAAGTTGATGCAGCTTTTGTATGCGACGAATTTTTCATATATTGTTGCGGAAAGGTCAAGATTTTATGTCGGTCGTAACTGTAATCTATGTCACTCAGCCGTGATCATTGAAACAGTTAACAAACAACAGTCTGCGGTGAATATTTACGCATTCTGCAAGCATACTTCACAGATGATTATATGGGCTTTTTAGCTTGGAGCACACATCTTACCAACCGTTTTTGTGGCGTAGTTTAGCTCCTTAATTTTGCATCAGTTATTGGCTGCCACGACTCGTCGCCAGTTATGTTTCATAAGTCGGTGTCCCTTATATGTCTTCAAAACTGCATTTGAAGTACAGGTTCCAAAGTTGGGAATGTGCTGAGTACATCGGTATTAATGCAGCTACTTGTGGTAGTCTATTCAATATTAGGGCCGATTAAGGAATGTCCCTTTGAACAAAAGCCCTCCTGTATCTCAACTCGGTCAGATCAGTGCGCTGCATGGTTTAGAAAATTGCCACTATAAGGACAGATCAAGAACGGTAGTTGCAAGAATGGCCAACACCCTGGCTTCGACGCATAATGAGAATGATAGAACAATAGCAAGTAACAAACGATTGTTTTTTCCCTGACCCGTGAACATCTTATGTCCTAATGAAATGCAACACGCATCTACCAGGATGGTAATAGAGAAGGGCCAAATAAAGGCGGATCTGCATTCTTATGGGAATGGTTCCTTCTGTGATACCATATCCGCTTCCTCATGACAAAGTGTTACATGTTGAGAAAATGATGGATATATGCAAATAGATCAGGATGATGACAGCACATGCGCGCGGCAGATCCTTGGACCAAGGGCGGTCGCATTTTCGGCCTTTGTCGTCCTCGTGTTTGGTCGATTAACGCTGGTGACATTTTGTCTGTTCGAAATTTAATCTCGTAAGGTTGAATATTTTTGCAGTAATACGACATTCACGGTAGCGAAAGTTTTCAGTATTAGATGATGTTAAATGTTTTAGGTTGTCTAGCAGATTATAATAATACTTTATTGTGTCCGGTGTTTTAAGCTGTTTGTATTGGTTTTGAAGATGACATGCAACTGACGTCCGTCCATTATCAAACCAGTTCTTCACATTTAAAATTCATGACATCAAGAGTTGTCTTGGTGTTGTATTACTTTTAAATGAGCTTCCTAAAATTTAAGGGTTGACGTTTCATTTTATTCCTGCCTTGATTTAAAGGCGATGATGCTCTATGAATGTTTTATTCGTTATAGGTCATCAGACTTCGGCTGAATCTTGGGGCACCGGACGTGCTGTTGCGCGTATTCCTAGGGTTCGTGGAGGCGGTACTCATCGCAGCGGCCAAGGTGCGTATGGTAATATGTGCAGAGGTGGTCACATGTTCGCTCCAACGAAGACCTGGCGTCGTTGGTACCGCAAGATTAACATCGCTGAGAAGCGTTATGCGATCTGCTCAGCTATTGCCGCTACGGGCGTCCCAGCATTAGTAATGGCGAGAGGTAGGTGATGTGAAAATATAATCAGCCTCAAGTGCCCATGTGATTGTCTTTTTTAGGGCACATCGTGTCAGACATCCCTGAAATTCCTCTCGTTGTGTCAGACAAGATCGAAAGCTACAAGAAGACTAAAGAGGCTGTTGTCTTCTTGAAAGC